TAAAATTTACCATCTTAACCGTCTTTGAAGTATATAGTTCAGTAGTGTTAAGTTATTTACATTGTTGTGCAACAGATTTCTAGAACTTTCTTATCTTGCAAAAGTGAAACTCTTTGAACAACAACTCCCCATTGAAATGCTACCTTTTCATCATAGACTGATTTCCTGTCTTTGTCACTTTTTGCCTCGACCACTGTAACAGCTTTTTAGCATTACCATAATTCCAATCTGTCATGCACACTGTGCCTGATTCATTTTCCTCATGCAAGTTCTGACCACAACACTCTCTCGTTCAAAACCTTCAGAGGACCTTCCTGATCCCGCAATTGAAATTAAGCCCCCATTCCGCTTTCGTAGGGCCTCAACTTTTTCTTCCTGTCATTTCTCATGGTTTGTAGTTTTAATGATCTGTGTGATTATTTGATGTCTACCTCCTTGCTAAACTTCAAGCTTCAAGAGAGCAAGGGCCATGTGCTCACCGCATATTCCTGGTACTTAGCGTTTTCCTGGCCCACAGTAGGTGGTGGTCAGTCCATGTTTGTGGAATGAGAGCTTCCCCTTGGCTTCTGGAATAAAGTAGAAACAACGGCAAGATCTGATTTCTTTTTTTAAAGACTATTTATTTATTTGAGAGAGAGTGAGAGAGCAGAAGCAAGGGAAGCGGCAGTGGGAGAGGGAGATGCAGACTCCCCACTGAGCAGGGAGCCTGACACAGGGCTCGATCCCAGGACCCTGAGATTATGATCTGAGCCCAAGGCAGACGCTTAACCGACTGAGCCACCCAGGCAGCCCTCTTTTTTTTTTTTTAAAGATTTTATTTATTGGGGCGTCTGGGTGGCTCAGTGGGTTAAAGCCTCTGCCTTCAGCTCAGGTCATGATCCCAGGGTCCTGGGATCCAGCCCTGCAAGGGGCTCTCTGCTCAGCAGGGAGCCTGCTTCCTCCTCTCTCTCTGCCTGCCTCTCTGCCTACTTATGATCTCTGTCAAATAAATAAATAAAATCTTTACAAAAAGATTTTATTTATTTATTTGAGAGAGATAGGGAGAGAGAACACGAGCGGGGGTGGGGGGCTGGGGTGGGGGTGGGGCAGGGGGAGAGTGAGAAGCAGACTCCCCGCTAAATGGGGAGCCCCACACGGGCTCAAACTCAGGATCCTGGGATCATGACCTGAACCAGAGGCAGACGCTTAACCAACTGTGCCACCCAGGCGCCCCTGCAAGATCTGATTCTAACTTACCTTCTCTCAGTCCTCTGCCCTTCAAGGAAGTCAAACTGCTGAACTCGCTGCCCTTCCTGAAAGAGCCTCAGGCTTTCTAGTGCTTGGTTCTGGTTTATACCAAGCCTTGATTTTATCTTATTTGTACTTCACTTTCTCCCTCTGCCCGAAGGCCATGCCTTCCACTCAGTCCCTCACAGCATTACTGCCTTATGGAAATCCAATTTATCCTTCAAGACTATGGCTGTCTCCGTCACTGGACTGTGAGTTCCTTGACAGTGGCGACAGGGTCCCCCTAATTTGCCCTTAGCAATTAGCAATTCACAACACAGCTCCTGGATTCCAGGGGGCGCTCGTGGCCACAGAGTTCCATCTGCTCCCAGGCTGCGGGCTCCTTGGGGGTAGGCAGTGTTCCTTATTGGCGAGCCTCTTGGAGCCTCTGGGAACCTTGCTTCCTGGCCCCCCAGGGCAAGACTTAGAGCTGGCCTCAGGAGCCTTCTTGTAACCTACTGAATGTGTCTGGTTGTGTTGTCAGGGGCTTGGACAGGAAGTGGTGGAGCAAGGGCAGAACCTTACCTGCCTTTCCCCAGCTGTGCCCTTGACATTCTTTCACTTCTTTTTTTTTTTAAATGTAGGTTTTATTTATTTATTTGACAGAAAGAGACACAGTGAGAGAGGGAACACAAGCAGGGAGAGCTGGAGAGGAAGAAGCAGGCTCCCCACTGAGCAGGGAGCCCAATGTGGGGCTTTACCCCAGGACCCTGAGATCATGACCTGAGCTGAAGGCAGCTGCTTAACGACTGAGCCACCAAAGCATCCCGACATTCCCTAACTTCTGCCCCTTTTCCAGCAATAAACAATTACTGCCTTGTGCCCCTCCCCCTCCTCACCTGAGCTGAGCCCAGGCTCTCCCTAGAGGATGCTCCCTGCCTCTTCCTCCCTCCAGACTCTGGAGAGGAGGCTGCGCAGTTGGCCACAGTTCCGGCCGGCCCCCTGGCACTGGGAGACAGGATTGCCACATCCAAGTTCCTGTTCTCCCACCTCCACCATGCCTTGTCTAGGGATGTCCAGACTATTCCCTGCCACTACCTGCTTCCTGACAGCACCCCTGTCACCTCCACGATTCTAAGGCAGCCCCTCCCCCTCACAGAAGCATTGGCCCCTGGCTTGGGCTTCTCCTTACCCCAAGAGCTGCTAGCATCCTGGAGGCACAAGAGCTCACAGAGGTCAGGTGTAGCAAGCTGGGGCCCATGTGCAGGATCCATCCTGCTAACTTATTTTGTTTGTCCAGAATCGTGTTTTGTAAAGACCCCAGCAGGGGAAGGACCTCAAACTCTCCAGACTTTTAGGGGCTAGTTTCCTTCCACATCCCGCCATTCTGCTTTAGAGTTCATCCCTGAGGCCACCCTGACCCTAGAGCTGTCCAGATTCTGAAATCTGCCTGCCGACCACAGCATCCCTCCTTCCTCTTCACTTCCTGCCTCCCCTTATCCTGTACTGTTCTTGGCACGCCGACCTCCAAGCCCTCAATCCTGCCCTGTTCTCCCAGGCTTCTGTTCCTCTCTTTGTTTTCCTACCCCTGCCTCATGGGTCATCTGAGAATCCCACGTCTTCCTGTTGGAAGCATTAGATGAATCTAACCATCCACCTTCAGTGGGAGCATCCTGAAAATAAAAGTGGGTTCAGGGCACCGGGATGGCTCAGTTGTTGAGCAGCTGCATTCAGCTCAGGTCATGATCCCAGGGTCCTGGGATTGAGCCCTGTGTTGGGCTCCCTGCTCAGCGGGAAGCCTGCTGCTCCCTCTCCCACGCCCCCTGCTTGTGTTCCCTCTCTTGCTGTGTCTCTCTGTCAAAGAAAATAAATGAAATCTTAAAAAAGAAAGTGGGTTCATTCTTTGCTCTCCTACAAAATTTGAGATTCTTCCCCAGACACAGGGCTGGGGTACTAAAGATACAGACACTCCTCACTTGGTGTCTAAGGCCCCGTGCACTCTGCCCCTTGCAAACTTCCTCCGCATTGTCTCCTGCCAAACTCCTATCACCCCTGAACTTGTAGCCATCACAGCCCCTTTCGATAACTTGTACCTGCACAACAGTTTTTTCCCCTTGCTCATTCTTTCCCTGGCTGACCTTAGTCTGGTTTTAAAACCTGATTGTTTCTAAGGGTAGATATGTCTTCATGTAAAGGTACAGAGCAAGGCGATCAGGATTGAGGGAGAGAATTGGTCAAAGGGGACTTTGGCCTTATCTGTCAAGTTTCAACTTTCACAGGGTGATTATATCATGTATTTATTACTCATGAGATAGGAAAATAAATGAATGAAACAGTTCAATACCAGGAAGGTTTCCCCAGACTTCCCAGGCAGATGGAGCTGTTTCCTTTTCTGGGATCAAATAGCACTTTCCCAGTGTTATAGCAAATATTGTGTTTTATGTAATTTGTTGGTGCCTTTCTCCTTCTAGATGGTGAACATCCCCTCAAATGGAGAAACTTTATGTCATTCATCCTCCCAGTGCCTAGCAGAGTGCCTGGCCCAGAGCAGGTGCTCCGGGAGTGTGGAACCCAAGGCACTGCTTCCACCAGTGGGAAGTGCTTTGAACACACTTGCTATGGGACAGGCCTGACACTCGTCCTGAGAAATTGATTCACTTTTACCATATCCAAGGGATGGTCTCTAGAGGTCTGAAACATGGGTAGAGGGGCCCCCAGGCTCTCGGGTTGGGCCAACACGGGGATGGGGCCTGGCACCCCCAAGGCTAGGATCCAATTCAGTGCTACTGCCTTGTCACTTGGCATGCCTTTTTCTTTTTTGAAGATTTTGTTTATTTATTTGAGGGAGAGAGAGAGAGCACAAGCAGGAGGAGTAGCAGGCGGGAGAGGGAGAAGCAGGCTCCCCATCGAGCAAGGAGCCTGATGCAGAACTCAATCCCAGGAGCCCGGGATCATGACCTGAGCTGAAGGCAGAAGCCCCCCCCAACTGAGCCTTCCAGTCACCCCACTTGGTATGCTTCTGAAGCCACTGCCTAAGAGCAAGGGCTATGTTGCTCAACATTGAACTTGTCAAGCCCAGCCCTAATCTGTATCTCTAAGAGGAAGAGGCCAGCTTCAAGGAACAGGCTATCCCCATACCGGCTGGGCCAGGAAGCCCAGAGTCAGGAGGACACTCACGCCAGCTATGTGTCCCGGGCTTGGAGGGAAGGGTTGAACAACTGTCCAGGGGACTTAAAGAAGGCATGGGAATCTGCTACTTCTGCAATTTTCCAGAGAAATCTGAACTCCCAAGTCATAGGATGCTTCTTAGGTCCCATCTCTGGCCCGTGGGCAACAGGGCAAAGGAGTGGCCTTAATGGGTCGATTAGACTGGGGCCTAGAGAGTGGGTAGGGTGGCTTTTAGAGTTGTAGAGTGGGTACCATGTGGCCAGGGCAACCCTTTAGGCTTGGATGGGCCCGTGGCAAGGAGGCCGTGGAAGGGTCTGAATGAGTCTTTCATCTGAGACTGCCTCCGACCAGTTCCCATATTCAACCTTGACTAGGACAGCATTCCTGGGGTCTTAGGGTGGTGAGGACAGCTACTTGGGTCCCTGGAGAGATTAAGGGCAGTGGCGGTGGCAGGCGGAATTTGGTGAGCCGTCCCCTTTGCACCTCCCCCTTCCTCCCACGCCATCCAGCTCCTTCCCAGCTAGCCACGCATAACCCCACTGTGGGCCTCTGAACAACTAGAGGTAATGCCAGACCGTGCCGCACACCGTTAGATCTCAAGGAAGAACGCCTCCAGCTGGCCCAACTCTCTGTAAGTAACTTTTATTTTTTATTTACAACAGAATCGGTGGCTTTGTTCCTCCATCTTTAGGGAGAGCGAGCATTATCAGCAGCCAGATGGAAAGTCCGCAGTGAAGTCAAACTCATTCTGCCCCAGCCACAGCTCCGGAAGCTCATTGGCTCGGTCCAGTCCCAGTTCCACCACCAGCGACATCAGCACCTCCTCATCCACGGGGTCTGAGTCGATGATAGCAGGGCTCTGGGCACCGGTAGAAGGAGAGAGTGATCCCGCCCCTCCCGCCTGAGCCCCAAAGCCCCAGTTTTGTAGGGGCCCTGCCTCCCCAGGTTGGCCCGGAGTGGCGGCGGCGGCGGCAGCGGCCATCCCATGATACTGGCTATTAAGTTTCTGCAGCTGCATACTGGCCAGCAGATGTGGGGCGGGGTGCAGGTTGAAGGGTGGGGGTTTAGTGGGAGGGGTGGCAGTAGGAGAGCCTATTGGAGATGGCGATCCCGAGGAACTAGTGGGAGCCCCACTGGCCTTGCTTCCGTTCGAGGCTACCCCAGGGTAGTGCAGGATGGCCACTGCTTTGCGGTCTTTTGTGCCCAGGTTAGAGTAGGCCAGCGAGCTCATCTCAGGGTTGGCATCCTACAAGACAGAGAGAGGCACAGCTTGGCACCCCCATTACTGGTGGCCTGTCACCATTCATTGGGCTCAGGAAAAGCCCCTGCATGCCCTTCCTCTGGGGCTAGTGGTGGGGAGAGAGCAACAAGGGCCCCCTGGCAAGTTAGGCTCCCAGCTCAAGTATCCTCTTGCTACCACCATCTTGGGCACCGAGCTCAGACCCAAGTGCTTGGTGCTGGGTGCCCATCGTCCTAAGTGGGTCCGTGGCTTTCATCTCTCTCCCCCTGACCCTTCCTTCATGTCACCATTCTGAAAAGGGCACCTCATTGGCTCTCTTCTCAGCCTCACAGCAATCTCTTCAAAGGAGCAGCCTTGTGCCACTTCTGCTTCTCTGTTTCCTTCTCTGCCATCTTTCCATACCTCGGTGGGTTCAAGTTGACCACATTGAGGCAGAAGCTATTCTCATTCTCCCCCGAGAAAGCCCTGCTGTCTCCTCTCGGCTAAAGGACACTAGATACTGTGCATGGGAGAGCCTTTCACAGGGGCCAGACCAGGCTGTCTTTCCGTGCCTCAGTGTCCCCATCTGCAAGATGGCAGAAGTTACCTCCTTCACAGGTGAGGTGCCACCCTTGACGTCGAGTGCAGGCCTTGACATAGTTGGCATTTCAGAGCCTTGGCAGAAGTTGGATAAACTGGTGGGAGATGATACTGTCAGCTGGAGCTTTTGTGCTGTATGTGAGGGAAAAGAAGTTACAAGGACAAAGGCTTTAGTGACCAAGAGAGCACTAGCAAAGCCCAAAGCTGGGCAACTCCACACAGCTACAACGCAAGGATGATAATGGGGTTAGGCCCAAGACCAGAAACCACCTGAACAGAGGCAGGAGATCAAGCTAGAACATTTGCCCGAGGCAGGAAGGGGGCTTGATTTAGCCAGGTGCTGCCCCCATCACCAAGAGGGCATACATGCAACTGTTTCCTAGTGCAAGTGACTTCAGAGCCTCAAGTGTGTGCATGAGGTGCACTGTTTCTGATTCTGAGGGCAGAGATGTCCTTGAGCAAGTAGCACACTTTCTCAATGGGCCACTGGCACCCAGGCTGGGGACCTGGGGCTCCACTGAGCTTGGGAGAAAGTGGGAAGGACTGAGGGCAAGGAAAACCTGGAAAGCTGGCTGCTTTAGCCTGGGGAAGGAATGAGTCCCCGAAGCTAAGGTCATGGGGCTCCAGAGCCCTGCCTCCAGCACGGTGTGAGAGAAATCCATCTGATCGGGGTGGTCTTGGGGCATGAAGGCAGCCAGAGAGCAGCTAGGAATGTCTCATCAACCTCCATGCCTCCCAGACAACCTGGGCAGCACCAGACTTTCCCAGGATATCTGCTCTGAGCCCAGCCACACCCATCTGTGGTGACAGGTGGGAATGATTCTTCTTGGAGGGAAACTGAGGCACAGAGATTCAGTGGCTTTCCCATCAGGTAGCTGTGGTTCTGGGAGGATCTAGCACTCCTATATCCACATGCCTCACCTGACCCCTGGGGCCAAGTCATCATACAGGGAATGATTCAAATGGCTCCTGAAGAAATGATTCCCTAGCTCAAGTGCCAAAGGATAAGGGGATGGGGGGTAAAAGGGTGCCCCAAACCAGAAAACTAAACATCTCTGAAAAATCTCAAGTTATTTTCCTGGAAGCTTCTTGTTGTTGTTGTTGTTTTTTAAACCCTCTATATTCTGGCCTTCATGATGAATTAGAGATGTAAAATTTCATTTTTATAAATACCTCTTAGCCTAGAGATTCTTCAGGACCTTAAAAAAAGGATCTCTAATCTGTCCACAAGTTTTGAATTCTCCACACCTCGCTCTTCCCTGTGGTCATTAGAAATCTGTTCAGATACTTCTAGAAAGTGACCGCTCACTACCTCTCTTTCTCATCGCCATTTATATGGGAGGGAGGCAAGAAAAACAGAGAAGGGAAGAAGGGGGTGGGGAGAAAACACGGGAAAATAATTTTCTGGGTTTGCCACTGCTGCTTGATTGGGAAGCCCTGTTTCTTCTCTGAGGCAACCGGAGAATATTTGAAGCCAGTGATCACAAGACAAGGAGTCTAATCCATGTCATCTTCAAGAGCTCAGCACCGTTGGTATCAAGCAATTTCATGTCCAAACAAAAATGTTTGGCGGGGGGGCGGGGGGGGGGCTGTCCATCTTTTCCCTTTCCTATCCAGCCTCCCTTTCTTCTGCTACTAGGTACCCGAATGTACAAAAGAAAAAACAACAGCAGGAACAACAATAACAAAAAGAAATGCGGGGGGGGGGGGGAAAAAAGGAAAAAAAAAAAAAGAAAAAGAAGTATCTCTGTTCTGATATCAGTTCCTGGGGAAGACCATTTTACCATGTCTCCCCCTTCAGGCTGGAAGCTCCCCTAGGCGGGACCCTGCTTGCATTCTGATCTGTGGCCTCCGATCCCCGCCACTTCCCCACCACCCGTCCTGACCCCCCGCCTGGGTCTGGGCTCAGTGGGCGCTCAGTAAGTGTTACTGAATCCGTCTGAAGAGGCAATAGCATTTCGATCGGGATCCCTGCCCCTGCTTCCCCGAGTTTCGGTCCCCATTCTGCCACCCAACCCATTCGAAGGCAAAACTTGGCAGCGCGGACACGTCCCAGCCCGCTATCCAAGCTGCGAGCTGACCACCGCGCAACCACTGCGAGAGGCGGCTGGACAAACCCAGAGCAACAAGTGCCTCCGCGCCCGCTGGTGCCTCGCGGGCCCGGCCACCAGTTCCCGGTCCCTACGCCCTCCCTTCTCTACAGATCTTCCCAAGGGCCAGCAGCCCCCTCCCGCCCAGATGGAGGTGGAGAGGGGAGAGGAAGAAGAGAAGGGAGAGGCAGGTAGGGGGCCGCGTCTTTGACCTGTTGGGGGACCAAAAGTTAAAATGGCACCAACCGGATGGCTCCATCTCGATTGCTATTTTCTCACTCAGAAGGAGAAATTTAAAAATCCAAACAGTACTGCGGCTTGGCTTGGACGCGCTCTAACCAGACCAGTCAGTTTCTCCACCTGAAAACTAAAGGCCCGTTGTTTGCGGACGGCTCGGCTGCCCTCCTCGCCGCATCCCAGGTGGATCTGCGGGAGTTGGGGGCGGCTGGGAGCATCCCTGCACGGTGGGCGCCAGCACCCAGGCCACCGGGGCCCCGTCCGCTCCCGCGAGTGCTGTTATCAGGAACCGATCGCAGAAACTGAATGGGCAGGCGGGGAGGGGCGCGGGGTCTCGGCCTCGGCCGCGAGTTTGGGGCTCCGCGGTCTTAACCGGCGCGGGGGCGCACTCAGCGCCGGCGGCGCCCACTCCCGCGCCTCACAACACTTACTGAGCGCCTGCTGAGCTATCCGATGCGGCCGCGGGCTGAGTCTACCCCCTAGCCACGCCGCCCGGAGTCAGTGCTATAAGCCCGGTACGAAAAGAGTGAGAGGCCCGGAGAGGTTCGGTAACTTGCCCAAGGTCACAGCGCTAGAAAGTGGCGGAGCCGGGATTCGCAGCGAGGTCTGTTTGACTCCAAGTCCGGCGCTCCGCGAGGCAGGGACTCAGTGCGCGGCCCGGCCCCGCGGCCCTCATTTATAGGGAGAGGGGTGTGTGCGTGGGTGTGCGTGGGTGTGTGGGCGTGCGTGTGGGGGAGAGTAAAGGTCGGCTGGGTAGAAGAGGCAAGTTGCCCAAATTCGCTAACTTCCATCCCGCAATTGGCTGAACTCGGCCCCCAAAGCCCCTCTCGTCTCCAGTCCCCGAAGGAAACCTGAGCTTTGTGCAGCCCCGGAGCCGGAGCGTCCAGATGCGGTCCGGGCGATTAGCAAAGTCGGTGGAAGCCAAGCTGGAGAAAGCGCGGGCGCGGGGAGAAAAGGTGTTGCGGTCTCCCCGGGAGAAGCGGGCGCCTGGCCCGGCTGGCCGGCAGGCGGGCGCGCTGGCGAGCGAACCGGCTCGCTGGCGGGCGGGCGGCGGCCCCTCCACCCCCAGCAGAACAGCTTTCAAACAGAAAACAAGTCCCCCAGAGCCCCCCGGCCCGCCCGGCCGCCGCCCGCTCCCCACACCCGCTTGGCTGGAGTCCCTGGCCCGGCCGACCAGCCCGGCGCCCTGCCCGCCAGCCCGGCTTACCTCTGCGAAGCCGCCCGCCCTGGAGAGAGGGAAGCGCGGAGCCCGGTGAGCCGCGGGCGAAGCGGCGGAGCCCCCAGCCCCGGGCACGCACGCCGCCACCGCCGCCGCGAGCCGGTCGCGCTCAGTGCCACCCGACCCCGGGGCGCCTGGGTAAAGCCCGCACCGCCGCGCCGCCGCCGCACCGCACCGTGCCGCGCCAAGCAGCCCCGGCCCGCGCCCGTGCCCGCCAGCCCGCCCGCCCGCAGCTTCGGCGCCTGACTCCGGGGCGGTGGCGGTGGCTGCCGCCGCGCTCCCTTCCCGGCGCCGGGGACCCGGTTCTCAATTCCCCATTGCCGCCCGGAGAGCCCTGACGCACACGCACGCAGCAGCAGGCTGGACTCGGCTAGGAATCCCAGGAAGGACAGACCCTTTCCCCCCTTTTTTTTCCCTCTCCCCCCAATTTCCACGTCTTTATAACCGGCTTAGGGCATTATTAGCACATGTCCTGGCTCGTGGGCGAGTTGACGGCAAAATCTGAACTGGATACTCACCGAGGGCCAGAGCGGGTGCTGTGCCTTCCGCAGCCCTCTTCCTCCTCGCCGGGAACGACCCCTCGCGGGCGGGCTGCGGGCGGGCAGCCGGGCGGAGCGAGCCTCCTCTCGGCAGCTCAACGGTGCCCCTTCTGCAGCTGTGCCGCTGGGAACATTTTATAGCGGCGGCTGGCGTGTGTGGCCCTTTAAAGGCGCTCAAGCTGGTGCAGTCACCGCGGATCGTGTGAAAGCGAAGGGCCGGCTGGGGAACGGAGGCCGAGCGGCCCCGCAGGTCCGGCCGCGCCGGGGACCGTCCGCGGTTCCCGGGGTGGAGCTGGCGGGCCCAGGCCATGGGCGCTCTGAGCCTTGAGCCCCAGGCCGACGCCTGCGCTTCTAAAACGGCGGGGGGCGCGTGCCCGGGACCTGGTCTCTCCCCACCGCCCTGCATGGACTTGCCCAATAAATTCCACTTAGCAATTTCGCTGAGGCGAGGGAGAGCTGTTAGTGTCTGTTTTCTGACCTAAATCTTGCCGGGTGGCCAGAACGGGCTTCAGGGGGCTGGGGGTGGTGGTGGTGGTGGTGGTGGAGAGCCAGAGAGGCTCAGGGAATGGCCCGGGGGAGGGGGGCGCACTCGGGACGGGGCTAGTGCCAGCGGGGCAAGATTGGAGTTTTCTGCAGAGCTTTCTCGGAGCCTGTTTGCCCCCTTTGGGCCGCACCATCTTGTTGAAGGGCTGAGTCTGGGAGTCCCTTTCCCCTTCAAAGTCCCCGGATTCCGGGCAGAGCCTGTCCCGCAGCGGCGGCTTCCCTTGAAGGCCCGAGAAGGGGTTGGGTTCGAGGGATTCACTCTTGTGGTCATCCCAGGCAGGAGGCTGACGGGTTGCGACGCGGTAATATGCTGCTCATCGGGACCCTGGGGCCAGGTGCAGCTCAGGAGGCAGCCCAAAAACCAAGAACCGGCAGCCGGGTTCGAAGAGCTTGCCCCGGAGCCCGAGGGGGAATTCCTTCTGCCTTCCCATGATGTCAGGTTATGTTATTACAATTATATAATCATTCCCATCTAGCAGGAATAACATTTTACATTTGGAGCATGTATTTCTCAGGTTGGGATACTATCTTACAGATGTTTAAGGGAAAGAGGTCTGCTTCCTCTCCTTCATGTTCGCGTTCCTTGTGGCCAGCAAGCTCCCGTCTCACCTCTTACAGGAAGGCCACCAGGATTGTCGCCCTCTACCAAACTCCCTTTTTTGACCCCTTTCAGCAACTACTCATTTTACACTGTTGATAAAACAAACTCTTAAAAAAAAAAAAAAGTACCGATGTTAAGAAAAAAGAGGGGAGGGAATGTCATGAAGTCATTTTCACTATGTATGTGTTTTGTCTTCTTAATTGGATTTGAAGACCTAAAGGTCTTTTTCTTTTTTCCTTCTTTCATTTTTTTCCTTCCTTCCTTCCTTCCTCTCCTCCCCCAGTCCCTTCTCCCTGAGCGCTCTGCATTTGCTCTTTGAACAAAGTTCTGTTTGTTGACGGACTAACCGGCTTACTGACAAAAAGATAGGAGCAAACGGAGGGAAGGGGACGGATCAAGGCCCTTCCTTAACACCTGGAGTATGCTCAGGGCTGCTCTGGTCTCCAGCTAAACCCCTTCCCCAGCCCCAAAAGCTGCCTTGCGGGGCTCCATTCCTTCTCCTCACCTTACCTCAACACAAACCCCAGTAACAGCCACCGCCCCCCCCAAAACCATTTCTCAGTTTGCCCAGAGATCGTGGGTCGTGTGCCCAGTTTGCCTACGATAAAAGGCGGGATCTGTCAGAACCCTAAAACCCTACAGAGTTTGCCTGTGAAATACACCCTCAAGCCACCTTGGTGTTTGCCTGAGGTGAGCGACCCTTAGGCTTTCCAATTGTGTGCTGCTAATTTGGCCCTCCGACCTACACTCCCCCTCCGCCCCCTCTCGGTGGCGGGTCTGGAAACAACGGCAGCTGCTCCGCTGCAGGCTCCCGATCCTAGAGGTGTTGGATCCGCCCTCCATCTATTGGATGGTTCCCAGGCCAATTGTTAGAAAGAGGCATATGTTCATCTCGGCTTCTGGAGTGTCTCCGGAGCAGTTGCTCAACAGCCAGCCCCCTCCCCCATCCGGACCATTGAAGGGCAGAAAAAGGAGAGCCCTCCGCCACAATTATCTGTGCCCACATGCCGGAGAGGGTCTCCCCACTGGTGACTTCCTGTCATCTCCGCTGTCCACCTCCTGGGGAGCGGGAAAGAGAGGTGCTTCAAGCACTCAGTTGTGGAGCACAAAAGCCACCCCTTTCCTTTTGGGGGAGATGGGAGAGGAGGTTAGTTGCAGAGGCAGGGAGAGAGCAAAGGAGACATTTGCTTCTATCTGCAAATTTGCCCCTGATCACAGACTTCCCAGTCGGCTGCAGCCCAGCTCAGAGCTCTCCGCTGAACTCTTATCTCCAACTTGGCAACTAGATCGCGATCTCGGGAGCCAAGGAGAGGACAAGGATGGTTACCCAACAAGAACACTCTGTGTTCCAGCACTGGGTCTAGCACGTTCTCATCCATCATCTCATTTAATTCCCACGACCGACCGGTGAGGTAGGGTTTACCAAAGGTGAAAGTGAGTCCCAGAAATATGCCCAAGTTCACACAGCCCAGAGGCTGGGTGTTTGAATCTGGGTCAGGCTGACTGCAGAGTCCTTCCTCCCACCCTTACACCTTGCTGGCCTGGAGGCAAAGGTTGCCTTCTAGACTGGCAGTCAAGAATACATGTTAAGGGGTCAGTCCACTTGGGATTAAATTCCTACACTGCCATTTATTAGCTGTATGATCTCAGGCCTAGTGGCTTCACTTTTTGGGTCTCAGTTTTCCTGTCTGTTAGATGGGGATAATAATAATAGCAACTCTACGGCTTTGTTGCAATGATCCCAGGGAAAAGCTTAGCCTAGCTGGTGCCTGCTGTGTAGTAAGCTGTCAACAAATGTTGTTATTGTGCCTTCTCATTTTTTTCCTTTTGCCTCCTAGCCCTGTCTCAGCTCATACTCTTCAGTTTCAATAAGACTGACTGATTAACTTAAAAAGCCAGGCTGAGAGGAGATGAAGGGGGTCTATAAACTCAGGAAGGGTTGGGAGATGAAAATGCAGATTTGTTCTCAAAATTCCATCCCATGGAACCAAGGGCTGTCTGAGCTATATGACAGGAGTAAATTAAGGACCAATAAAAGAAGACGACTTTTTACAGGACAGCTGGTAAAAACACAGAGTGGTCTCCAGAAACAGATACTCAGTATGCGTGTAGAAAATTTAAAAAGCACATCTTTGTTCAAGAATGTTGGGGCACCTGGGTGGCTCAGTGGGTTAGAGCCTCTGCCTCGGCTCAGGTCATAGAGAAGATATGGTATAGATAGATATACAGTGGGTTATTACTTAGTCATAAACGAGAATGAAACCTTGCCACTGGAGACAATGTGGAAGGATGTACAGGATATGAAGCTAAACGAACTAAGTCAGACAGAAATAAATACTACGTGATTTCACTTTATGTGGAACCTAAAAACCCAAAGCAAATGAACAAACAAAAAACCCAGAAACAGACTCACAAACACAGAGAACAAACTGGCCAGAGGGGAGAGGATGGGGGGATGGATGAACCAGGTGAAGGGGATTAAGACATGATCTCGGTGTCCTGCCAGGTGTCCTGCCATGGAGCCTGCAATATCGGGCTCTCTGCTCAGTGGGGAGCCTGCTCCCCTCCCCATTCTCTCTGCCCGCCTCTCTGCTTGCTTGTGATCTCTGTCTGTCAAATAAATAAATAAAATCTTAAAAAAAAAAGAATGTTTAGAGCACAATTATTTATAATAGTGAAAAATAAAAAGCAATCTAAATGTCCACGGTAAGGACGTACCTTAGTACCTTGACACACACAAACAATCCTGATTTCTAAAACTCTTTTATTCATGGGAAAATGTTCATAACAAAAAAATAAAAAAAAATACTGGGTACAAAGTTGCATAAATATGATGCCAAGTTGCAGCGAGCACAAAGAATAGAAAATTGAATACTATGTTTCCAACCATGTATGAATATGGGTAATGAAGCAATGGTCAGGAAAACACCAAACCAACAAGAGGGTCAGTAGGGTGGTAGGATTATGAGTGATTTTTTCCCTCTTTTTTCCATGTTATGCAACATGCTGATATTTTTCTTATAATTAAATATAAATTTATAGTTAATGAACTGCATACATAGTACGCTCCCACTTTTGTTAAAATTACATGTGCATAAAAAAATTGGAAGTAAATACACCAAAAT